GTCGATAATTGAGGTGTAACGTAAATGTTGCTTTGACAAATAAAGTCTATTTCTTATTCTACAATAGATCTGTTATATCAATTAACAAAAAGTCTGTATTATATGGGATTTTACACGAAAACAAATTACGGAGGATTCCATCATATATTTATTACATAAAACATAAACTTGATAATTAAAAATTGTATATACTTTTTTTCTGTTAAAGAACACCTGGTGTTAATCGATCAAGCAGTCTTATATCGGCGGGGGACGACACAAGCTTGAATCATTGGATTTTGCGTTCTGAAATGATTCTTGACACATGATTACAATGGTTTCTATCCGATGCTGAGATCTTGCCATATTTCGATGACCAGTTTTTGGAGAGTGGTGGAAGTCGATTATATAAAAAGGTGCTGATGACTACACTTGTCTGTATCAGTACTATCCAGCTTCGATATCTTGGTAACTCCCTAATCTTTAAGATATGCTTGTTTACCTTTGAAATTCATGTGTATCTACAATTGAAAATTGGCTGTATATGGACTTTATATGCCGTTTTTAAATAGTTTATAACTTATATTCCATTTCTCACATTTTATTTAACAGAAAACGATACATATTCAATTATTAGCTCAAGTTTTGGAAGAAGTGAACTTTAAGTGATTTCGGAAACAAAGGTACTGCTAGGAAATCATTGTGACGGTTTAGAAAAAATTTAAATAAAGAATACATCTTTACAGTAACAGTTTCGTTATATTTACACTAGCAATAGTTTTCATCATTCGGTTGACGACAATACAGTAAATAGGTAATTTGTGGAGCACCGTTTTCATCATTCGGTTGACGACAATACAGTAAATAAGTAAAAATAAATTATAATGATTTATTTATATAATGAGAGTATTCGTTATGAAGACACTTTGGGTTTTCAAAGTCGTTAAGTATATATACCTAAATTTTGCATTCATTCACGAATAATAAAACGTGATGAACACATAATGTTGAAATATATATTTTGATAGTCATTTTCATGTTAAAAATAATTGAAAGTTTTGAAACACCTCTGCAACTTAATTGAAAGTTTCATGATAACCGCCGTATGAAAACATCTGCCAATGTTTCTAAATTCATTATTTCACCTTTTTCGTGTTAAAATGTTTAGCCGGTGCTAGGCGGCGTGGACGGTAACTTGCACTTTCCAGTACCGACTATGAACAGGCTCAATCAAGCCGGGCCTGCAACATTTTTAATATTGCCGTCTTGGGCTTTCTTTAGGGATTCTGTTTTTCTCTATTTTAGCTCAATATTGACATGTTTCACTGGTCCTTCAGGATATCTGTTTCATTTGTAATTGTAAATATTAAAAAGTTAATCTCTTTTAAGCTGCCGAGAGTAATCGTACTGTTTTTTATTTAAAATTCTCCTATTAAATCATTGAAATTTTCTTTGGCACGTTTCATATTTTCAAGGAAAGTTCAAGGAATTCTGTATTTTTAAATGCAATTTGACATTTGAAATGACCAGTTTGTCATAACGACAACAATTACTTTTTACAAAAGTTGTTACCTAACATTGGCAAGAAATAATTAAACCTAATAACTAAAGTGTGAATCACTTATATTATGAATTGATCCTAACAAATAAATCATAAATATTTCATGTTAGTAAACAACCAAATTGTTCATGTTTTTATTGCCCTTATTACCCCTTATCCTTCCTCACCTTTCTTCTAAACATAGCCCCCGGATGACAAATAAAATAAAACAATGACATTAAAAAATGCAGTTTCTCAAGATTCTATGAACAAAGTACAAACACTGGAATACCGAACATGAAAATATTTCTAGAAATTTAAAAATGCCCATGTACTATATCTTCTTAGCTTTTATTTGTTAAGAAAAAGTTTACACCTAACACGCAGCATTTCAACGTCTAACATTGCAATCTTTATAAGTAGATTACTTGGTAATTGTACTTTAAGGATATAAAATTAACTTCAAACTATTCTATTTTTTTTTTATTTTCTTTTTGTTTTGGGTTTTAAGTCACATCGACACAGTATAGGTCATATCGCGACGTTCCAGCTTTACTGGTGGAGGAAGACCTCAGGTGCCCTTCTGTGTATTATTTCAGGCACTAACGGGCACCTGAGTAGAACCAACGACGTTCCGTAAGCTAGCTGGATAGCTTCCTCACATGAAAGAATCCAAAGTCCCTGTCGGGATTCGAACCCACAGCGGTTAGGGGCAAGTAGTTTGAAGTCAACGACCTTAACCACTCGGCCACGGAACTATTCTATTAATCTGTTTTCTTAAATGTGAGAAAATACAGAAAAAGACGAATATCGCATTCTTACTAATTAATGAATGATGAGCAGACTTTATGCGTATCAGTTGAATCCTCCGCCTTCATATCTTTACCAATTTTAATATTAATATTTAAAAGATGAGTCAAATAATTATGGTATGTTTAGCGACAACGTTTTACTTTATTTTATGTAGTGAAAATGTGAAGTTCCTTAAAAGCAATTTGGTCTGATTTCAGCATTATGATATAATGTCCACGAAGCAAGGTAGCAGAGTTTAGTCTATATGACCGGTATAATTATTGTTATTACACATGTTAAAACTCACTCATGAGCGAAATGGTAGAGTTAAAGGAGAATGAACAACAAGTTAATACTGACGATTTAAATATATAGTCTGTCCGAATGCATGACAGAATATTGCTTTCGAAAGATCTCGGCTTTTATTCATAATAACCTCAGACTTACGGATTGAAAGTAGTTCTACCGCGTGGTATTAAATGTAAACATAAACTCAGGAATACTCTTTAATAATATATATCGAATGTATATAATTGTCATCCTAACATAGTCTCTTTAAGTAGTTAAATCGGAGGAAGGTAGTCTAGTACTGGTGTTACTCTCCAGGAACGATGGTTAGGAAACTACCCGCCTATATGACTGAAATACTGTTGAATGAAACAAACAAACAAACAAACAAACAAACAAACAAAGTAGTTAAATTGTGATTGAACAAATGTCTGACAATCATAATCAAAGAGACCCACCGTGATGTAGAATTATAAACAAATACGATTTAATGTCAACCGGTAGACATTTTGTACTTTCGCATTCTATGGCTTTGATAAAAAGTATATAAATAATGTACTGTTTTATTTTATATCAATGAATCTACTTTATTTTGGTGGACTTTTACTTGAAGTATTGGAATAAACTTTGTCAATAGCTCCCAATATTAAATTACTATTTGTTTACATGTTGTGTTTCTTAGCGTAGGTTTGACCGCAATACTGGTTCCATTCTTTGTATTTTCAGTATTGTGTTCTAGGTCCTTATCCGAAATTTGACGGAAATGGCCGAGAATATGCGATTGCAGAAGATTGGTGTTTGAACGTTCAAATGTTGTGCATCTTACATTGTGTGGTTCCTGTCGATTACTAGTAGATGGGACAAATACTGCCACTACGAGTTTCTTGAACTTCCCAGAGCAATACAGGCTTGTTTAGGATATCATTTTGTCAGAAAACAAAACACATCATGTTTACGTTTGCCATTTTAGAAAATTTTATAGAACCTACATGTAGCTCTTAGTTCATTTCATAAAAACAATATGTAATTATCTAAAATGTTTATGTATCCACTTATTTTTTAAAGTGAAGTGCATTTTTACAGTTATAAATTGTAATCATTAACGTTTCCTTTTTTCATTTTTGTCGTGTCTATTTGAAGTGAACCATTCTATAGCTGCCATAATTACTTGTGAAAGTTCATCTGAGTTCAGTTGTATCCAGAGAAAGAGCGGCTCAATGATTAACAGAGATATTTGCTTAAATAAGACATTGTGAATGAAATAAATATGAATTGGTGTCGAGAAGGTGCGCTTTGGGTTTCAAATGTTTGACTATTTTGTAATATTGATTGTCTGGCTGTATCTGGCTAGTGTATTGAGTACCTTAACATATGAAACTTTGAGAAAGATGGCACACGTGTTTATCTTACTGAGATTTAAGACTCGTTATATGTTTTTTTCGACCACCAAGATAACAAATAACAATTTATAAAAGCCTATAAAATAAAACAGAACACGTCAAAGAAGACTTGTGAAAGAGCCAAAAATACGATCCATTCATACGGACATCTGCAATCATAAGTTTTTCCCACAAGCAATTGCTCACTTAAAAGTTTTGAAGTATACATTACATTCACTCTGGTTAGTGTTTGCGAATACTGAATACAAAAGTGCACTAAATAAAATGACTAGCACTTAGTTGATGTATTTCGTAAAACAAATTTCAGCATTGACAATTTATGCTGGTCCTATTTGTTTGTATCTTATAAATTCGTGTATATTTTCAGAAGTATTTTCTGTATATTCATTAAGTTTATTGAGATAATACAACTAATACGATAGTTCCGTCGTTTGATATGTTTATAAAATAGTGTATGTGTTTCATGGGTTTGCTGGAATTTTAATGATATATTAGTTATATACAATGCTTTGTTAATATATGTGTACTGTTAAACATTACCCGTAATTTTTATTACCATCAAAGTGTAGCAAAATGAATAAGAGCAAATTTTCTCTTTATCCTTAATGTTGTTTAATCTTAGTAATATCTTTAGAAAATTACATGAGCCTCTTTTTTGTAAAGTGATTTTTAAAGCCAAGTACGTTTTAATTGCAGCTTAAAAATGACCAAGTTTTCTCTTTTACGTTCAATAGGCGAGATATATTTGTTCAAAGTTTCATATATTGTACATCCTTGGGGAAAATACTTATTCTTCTTCAGCTCAGCAACATACGCCCAGTGTTTAATCGTTAAGGATATTTATATTTTATTTAACTTGCTTGGTTATTTAACTGGATATCTATATACGCCTTGACAATATACCTTAAACCACAAGACCCTCTATAATTGTATCTGTTATTTGTTGCGCAAACGGTAAACATTGAGTTGTGCATGGTTTTGAAATAATAAGCAATACTGTATTTTCTGTAAACAGTTTGTAATATTTTCGCTTACAATCAAAGAAAAAATTCTTGGTAACCACAATCTTAATATTCACACTTTTAAGAACAGTTTAATATCACAAATCGCTAACTATCAACATGATATAAAATTTAGGAACTATTTTTCCATATCTATACATTTACATTCACTAGTCATATTTATGAAAAATATGAATACAGTTTTGTTTGAATGTAAATCACAACATAATTCATCGTGTCAGAAAAAAATATATTTCAATTTTAACAATTAAGTATTTCAAAAATAATGTCATTTTCCGAGTGTGATTAATCTTTTGTTAGCTGCTTCTAAGTCTCTGCCAAATCTCATAAATCTTTTGTCAGCAGTGTTGTCAGCGGAGTTGCGTCCAAAACGCATGAAACGCTTGTCGGCGGTATCTAAATTGTCTCTCCCAAATCGCATAAATCTTTTGTCAGCTGTTGAAGACTCGTCGTCTTGTTGGTCCCGTCCAAAACGCATAAACCTTTTACCAAAACGCATGAACCTTTTGTCGGCTGTGGATGACTCGTCACCTTCTTGGTCCCGTCCAAAACGCATGAATCTTTTACCAAAGCGCATAAATCTTTTTTCAGCATCAGTTTCGTCGTCAGATGTTATAGGACCAACGGCTGAATAAAATAGATTTCAAATTAAATTACATTTATATGTACAAATATGTGTATTGCGCAGTCGTGCAGCTATAGAGATTTGGAGCCACTAGTCCAATATCAGGTAAATATAAATGCTACCAAAGAATACTAGTGTATGTTAAAAATGTTTTATATTTTGTAATTATTTCTTTTAGGTTTTATCGTAAGAAAAATCTCATTAAGCTTAGGCACATTTTGTGAGAAAAACTTATTAAATGTCATTAAATATGTTTGGCAATTAGAACAAAGGTACGATCTTTGAATACCACAATTGTATTCAAGAACACACAGCTAACTTTATATAGATAACCACTCACATTTTCCAAACCTCATGAATCTTTTATCAGCGTCTACCTTGTCATTCTCACCACCACGACCAAATCTCATAAATCGTTTATCTTCATCAATTGACTCTTCAGATGGGTCACGTCCAAATCTCATGAAACGTTTGTCTGCTTCATTGTTTCTTCCAAATCTCATAAATCTTTTACCGAAGCGCATAAACCGTTTGTCCATATCTCCTTCTTCGTCATCTTCACCGTCTCTACCAAATCTCATGAAGCGTTTCCCAAATCTCATAAATCTTTTTTCTTCGTCAGTGACATCATTTGAATCTCTACCAAATCGCATGAACCTTTTATCTGCCTCTGTCATATCTTCTGGATTTCGTCCGAACCTCATGAATCGCTTTTCTTCTTCTGTCATGTCTTCTGGATTTCGTCCAAATCTCATGAATCGTTTTTCAGCTTCTGTCATGTCTTCTGGGTTTCGTCCGAACCTCATGAATCGTTTTTCTTCTTCTGTCATGTCTTCTGGGTTTCGTCCGAACCTCATGAATCGTTTTTCTTCTTCTGTCATGTCTTCGGGATTTCGTCCGAACCTCATGAATCGTTTCTCTTCTTCTGTCATGTCTTCGGGATTTCGTCCAAACCTCATGAATCGTTTTTCTTCTTCTGTCATGTCTTCTGGGTTTCGTCCAAATCTCATAAACCGTTTGTCCTCTGAAATTTCTGGGTCTCTTCCAAATCTCATGAAACGCTTATCTGCTTTTTCGTTTTCGTCGACAGGGGCGTCTCTTTTTTCTACGTTATTTACATTTTCTTGATTTGATTTTTCTACAGAAGTGTCTGAACTAGTTTGCGCATCAGTGGAACGTTTTCTGCGAAGGTTAACATTATGTGATATTTCAAACTGTCGAATTCTAGATGTAAGAGCAGATAATAAGTCATCTAAGGTATTTGTATTTCCACGACCAAATCTTAAAAAGCGTTTGTCTTCAACTGGATATAAATCACCGCCTCTGCCTATTCTCAGGAAAGCGTTTTCGTTTGCACCACCTTTACCAAAGCGAAAGAATCCATCATCTGAGAGAGCCCTTCCAAACCTGAGAAATCTTTTATCTTTTGCACTATCTAACCCTGAAAAAATAACTATAATTATAAAAAATGTTTTAAGTCAGAAATGGTCTCAAGGAAGAAAAAACTTACTATTGTTATAACTTAAACATGTTTCTTTTATTGAATACTGTTGCAGAAGGGAAATTTGAATCGTTATGTAAACCTTGATACATGTATATATTTACAATGTAAGATGTATTATAATTAAATTCAAAATGATTAATACATCATTATATTTGTTTATTTGGTAATTTTAATTATTTTACTGATTAAACCATATACCACTACGGACTAGCATGTTGAACAATGATTTACTAAATGATATTAATGTGGGGTATTAGGTGTCCTTTTATTTAATTTGAAGAACAATTGTGAGATATTTCCTTCAAGAATGTTGAAACATTGTAGACATCATGCACAAGAAGCATAATTATTCAAAAGTCATTTAGAGGTCTTGGGTGATGTTTTATTTGATATTTTATCTGATATAAATAGCGTGAACTGTCTTAATAAATAAATGCTTAGATTTACATAAAGCGATTTCCTCAGAAATTTGAGAAATTCTCATCGGGGAGTTAAATATTGCACATAATCTGCCAGTTGCTGCCTATGATGCTGTGGATTTAATTGGATATTTGCAAATTCAGGCTCAGTTTAATGATTAATGTGAATTTATGTAAACGATTTTGTTTTCAATTAAAAAAAGGCCAAAAAAGTCTTTATTTGAAATCTTAGTGACATTTTCATCAAATAAAGTTGTTTACTTCGTACAGCCCGAACGCACTGACATATAATTTACTGTCATTGGATTTTTAAATATAATTGTATAAGTACTTTCTCGATATTTTAAAATTGGCAATTATGTTTTGTAGATATATGTAAAGGTATCTTTGTCTTCATTATAATTATAGAAAGTTGTTCTTCCCTTGGTTTCATGTTGATTTCTTGTCATATTCTTACTATGTTTGTACAAAAAATCGGTCAGGATTTGTTATTAACCTTCATGTGTGCTTCATGCTTTTAACTTGGTTCTTATATCTTACAAAAAAATAAATGTAATGTATTTTTGTACTGACTCTTCAGTTCCTATTTTTAATCCTTCAAGTTTCGAAGGTTAGAGTCCATGTTGCGTGTTAAGAATATTAGTTTGCTCAGCCGAGAGTCTCTTTACACTTTTTTTCAATGATTCGTCTAGATGAAAAAGGCAACATACACATAGACTTGTGTCAGAAAGACCACAAAACAGGCTCTCAGTGGCGTGCAATAGGTGATTTTCTCATCGAAACTAACGATTTTCTTTGGTGACTGATTGTTTGCCTAATTGCTTATTTACAGAACTGGAATCATATCTTCGTGTTGATCCTAACCTAACTGCACGAGATCATTACTCCGGGGAGATATCGTTATTCTATACATAATGTCAAAGAAAAATTTCTTGTGACAGCTTGTCCACAGAGATATTTCTATCATAATTTAAACATGAACATTGTAGACACATTTCTTGACTTTCAAGTGAAAGCGAAATAATTCATGTCGTGACACTATTGTTTTTCTAAAAATTACTAAAAAATATAAAAGATGGTGTAATTATCACTATACTCATTTTTAATTTACATAGACTTGTTGTTTGAAAGAGATATTAATTTGTATTTTTTTCATTTTGTAATGTTAAAAAATGTAGTGTTTATATTTAAGTGCTCGCAATAAAAATGTAATTTAAATATGGAATTAGTTTTATATTATTTATAAAAGAAAACTTTAATTTGATTATCCAAAGTACTGAGTGAAAGAACCAGCAATTTGAATAAGAGCAGCAGTTTTATAATGTGCCAACATTTTTAAAACATACAATATCTGTCGAGCCATATGAAAGGTTTTCAGGTTGATGGTCAATAAAGGTTTAACAGGTGATAGGGGGCGGGCGCCGGAGTTTGCACATATCATAGTCTCTCATGAGTAAATTATTTATCGTCTCGCTAGTGCTCCGTCAGTCAAGTCCAGTCTCTGACTGGTATCTTCAAGAACAAGATTTCTATTATTAAATGCCCAGTCCAACTAGTCGCAGAAAACTGGCCATCATTAGTTTGTATTATATTCAAACAGTAAGACATTACAACTGATCGACTGTGTTAATTTCTTATTATTTTAGATTTTCATGGTCTCTCTATGATAATATACTTAGAAATAAGTGTTAATGCTTTAATACAACAACTTTGCGAATTTGTAAATTAAATAATGTCTTTGAAATGATGTATTTGGTATAATAATAGTTTGTCTTTATTTTCATTTTGAAATACTTGATATATCATAAAAACAAAATAATAAATAACTTTTTGGTTAATAACTATTTCGGTTATTATCCTATATAAACGTAGTTTACATTTAGTATAAATATTTCTATCAAAGTTAATATTGATTAATATTCAGCAATTTCCATCCATTGAATATCTATAGATTTTATAGAGAAGTCATAATGTAGTAATTATTAAATAATTTAATATTCAATGTAAAATTGCTGACTATATAAAGATAGTATCTACGTCATTATGCTATCGTTGTGCACAATTATAGCTGTCATAATATGATGACCAATAGTTATACAGTCTTAGGGGAGTACGTCACAATCCAATTATCTCATAAATATTCATAAGATATGACACGGGTGATTTAATTTAACATGTGGCCGATACTTTTCGAACCATCTGAGTTCCAATTGTCTTCTGTCAACCTTTTGTGCAATATTCGATTTGTATTGAACTAATGCCTGCATCTATCAGTTTCACGATTTCCAAAGTTTTTTTTTCAAAGTAAACTTGAAGCTGATTATAACTTAAATATAACGGGAACATCTTGTTTACACTTGACAATAAACAACAAATTAAGATAATTAAGCCAAACAAAGTATAAAGCTGACCAATTTAATACTCTTTCGCATTTTTTTTGAATCATCAAGAAAAATATCACCTTTTTTTGAATAAGTTAACCTTTTATTTGATATATGTTTAAAGATAATATTTTTAATACTCCTTTACTCTTGTAGAAGTACCTCAAAACCTTATTCTGAACATACCTGTATTCAATAAACGTTTATTATACAGCTCTCAAATTAGCTATATATTGCTGAACATAGCTCTAATGTAAAGCTTGTTTTCGATTTTTATTTTTCATTTTGCATGTTTTGTTTTTAAAGAGGATCAAGCTATAAAATTCTTCAGATGTCGAACATCGGGCGTTTATTTTCACATTAACTTCCGGTCTAATTTAAGAAGAAGGTCTCCATTTAACTTTGGTAAGCCGGCAGAAAAAAAAGTGTGTAAACCATCACATTAAACATAGTTCATTCATTGATATGACCAAATGAATCCATTGAAACTTTCAGCGGTTATTCACTTGAAAAGAATTGAATACGGTGTAGGCCAAAAATCATGTTGCTTAGATTGAGCGGCACAATTGTATTTACCATTCTTCGCTTATAATGGGTTATATCTAAGAACGAAAATATATACATTACGCTTGAAATTTTCACTTGACCGAATTTAACACTGATAACAGAATGTTACAGGCTTACCTTGAAACTATATGATTGGTAAAAAGTCAAAGAAGAAACAAACAAAAAAACACGGAAATATCAAATTGGATTTCACCGAAGCGCACTTACAATGCGGTTTACTTGTGTTTGTGTATTCTCAATTATTAGAAACATTGAATGACTGACTATTGTAAACCTAATATCCCTTTAGTTGTTTATAAATCCCTTTAGATGTACTAATCCCTGTTTACTTTATATATATATTTACACTGCTAAATACTGAATGAGTTTTTAGAACATTTATTTACAAAAGATAATTAAGTGAAATAAGTGTACATGGACTTTGTTTTCTTATATTATCTTCAGCGTGAAAATTAGTCTCAAGTCTATCATAGTATAAAAATGTCAGTCAATGTTGTATTTCCCTGTACGTTTTTCTTCACACTCCGCTCAACAATTCAAACAAAGCTTGAGCAATGACGTGCGAATACCAAGATAATTCAATTTTATCGGTTATCACACTGACACAGGACAACCATTGGACATATTCTCTCAAAAACGTGTTCTTCCAAACCGTGAGCGGATTCAAGAGAACAATGTCTGTTGCTGATGTTACTAAGTTAATTACTTGATAAGAGATCAGAGCCTGTGTTCATCAAATCGTGGACTCAAAATATTCACCAGAACTCACTGAGTACTAGTTACATTTCATCTCAAATATTTCATATCAACTGAGACTTATAACTTGCAATGACTTAAATGTGCATATAACTCGCAAAGGGGCAAGCAAAAGTCAATCATATACATGTATTCACTAAATGTATAAGAAATGTACGATATAACACGTATGCATTAAACATTAAGAGAATTGCATAGTCCGTCTACTAAAGTGATGAATGTATTCTTAACTTTATTTTTGCCAACATTTGTTTATGCTTTATGCATTTTGCAGTAAAACCAATGTTTGTTTTTAGTATAATTACTATTTTTCTTACAATGAAAAAAGTGAACAACTTCCAATAAAATTCTTTATATAGATAAGTAAATTAATAAATTAATAAAAGACAAATTGTAATAAGCTGTTAAAATAAAAATAAAATAGAAGTGAAAATGCTTGCACTAACGGCATGTAATGAAGGAAAAATCTTCATGCTAGATATGTTTTTTTTATGATTCTGTGATAAGATAAAAAAAAAAGATGTTACACAATTATATAGAGTAACTAGTTTGTATGATAACTGACAAAGAATGTCGTATACGTGGATAAACCAAATATCAGATTTATGACAAGAACGTACAAGATAACATAAAATATAGCAACATAATAATGGAAACTGTTCATGGGTTAAATTCAATCTAGAATCATGTCAGCTTTAAGTCATGCCATACACTCTTTGACAGAACAATATAACGGGTTGAGCATGGTTCGTGCATTGGCATATTGTTGATAATTGGAAGTATAAGATTGTTTTATTATCTGTCGAGAAGAAAATGATCTTGCAATGATCTCCTTTAATCTAACTTGATCACAACATATTGTTCTGGAGCATTATCGTGTCCTCGTAAACGCCAGTGTTTGTCAATTGTAACACAATTTATTGCCTTATTTCTAAAGAAGAAACGGTTTAATAGACTTGGATACAAAAACAGTTCCGCTAATTGAATAAGCTATTCCATTTTTTTGGAAATATTTTTCAATAAGCATATGCTTTAAGGTAAAAACTTTATAAATTATGTTCTCTAAAGATATTGGGAAAACTATACTTTTGCATAACAACCTACTTTTTTGCATACATTATAGAAATTTACAATTTTTAAACTGGAAAAATGTCCAAAGAGTTTCAATAAGGTCATATCCCGTACTTTTGTTTCTTCCGTTTAATCTATAGTGTCTGTAAGATGAACTTTACGATAAAAATAGTCGTGATTATATAACGAGCATTGTTTTGTAAGAACACACGGTTTTCAGATTTGAATTTTTTTTACTTATAAAATCGGAAAGTCTTGAGTTTTGTTTGTTTATTCAATTTTAAAAGATTTTTTATACAAAATTTTGAACAGATAACATTTCTTACTCTGAGAGACGCCTTGATGTGATATTTTGAAAAAAAGACGAACGAAAAATGATCAGAGTAAAAAAATTAAATAGTTTAAATTTTAAAATTATTATTTCTCTTTAAAAATCTAGGATAAGTGATATTGCACAACGCATTCATGACACATTATCATGCGATATAATTTATTCAATTATACTTTGCTAGTAAAAAAATAGTTTTAGAAAAGATGCAGTTTACCTTGAAGTATTTGTTGGCATTCATCTTGATGGTCACCACAAAGCTCCATTATATCAGTGGCAAACACTCGGCCAGTCAGCCATTTTGCTAGGATTGCTAAAATCAATCCCGTACACGTCCACGTCCTCATTACCCTCTTGTTACAGTTATATCCGTCTCTTATCTAAAATAAAATAAGGTAAAACGAAATTTGATTACAAATTCATCAATGTCAAAGTTGTTTATTTGTTTTGTTTTTTGCGGCGATATTTAGGTCATAGCTCGGCGGTCGCTCCACCTAAACGTCGTTTTTTAGACAACTTAAAAGTAATTATCATTTACCGCAAGTGACCGACTACTAGACATATATGATTTGTGAATCTCTGATGAAGGACAAATGACCATAAGACCAAATGTTCGAAATCGATTTTCACAGAGAAATTTCGCCTCGCCCGAGATTCCAACCAGCGTCCCCTGTATATAATTTCCGTTGCTTACCAGATTGAGCATAACGGTAGCTCACGTAAGTTCAGACAAATAGGTATATTTTATGATCATTATATTGTTTGCAGTCTAGTATATCTTATGTTTTAATCACTTCTGAAACCAATGACAACATAAAACATTATACATGACTTGTTTTTTTAAGTAACTTCGACTTATTTTTCAACAGGTTTGATGGTTTGATAGTATGCTCTAGCAAAAAGTGAATATTATAGAAGTTAATCATGTTATATATAATTATATATTGTCTATTCTTAGTTTAATCTTCCCTCAGTATCATGGCTAACACATAGAGAAGATATAAAATGATGATAAAGGCACTCTAACACAATAAATTCCTTATTATTTTTCTCAATGGAATACTTTAAAGGAAGCAATAGATCGATAGTTCATTGTCGTTATTGCCAACAAAGAAAATAGTTTTATTTGTACATGTAAGTATATATGTAGATTACATATGATATTTTGACAAGCTATTCAATATGATAATATTTTACCATTTATCATTGACATGGAAATGGTCCAATACATATAATTACATACTAAACTACTTTATTGTATAAAATACAGTCATGTACTGAGCTTTAAATGTCGGATATCTTGAATTAATTGAAGAACATAAAACAGTTATTTGTTATGAATATCTTATTTTATAGCTTAAGCATTAGCATCATACGAACTTTAAGTCTCTTTCATATATAACAAATACCTTTGACAAAAGTCTTCAACGATTATCAATATATACCATTGGTATTTAAGTTATTTCATACTGTCGAATGTTTTGTTTTGATGGATCCTCTCGGTGAATTTTAACAAATCCACGAATGTCGATATTAACTTTGTGAAAATGCAAAAACAAAATTCATATAATATGATATATGACTTATGCTAAACATCTTTATCCACAAAACGTCATTGTTTATTCTGATCAAACATTAGCTTTGTTCGGCATCTGTTTAGTAAAAAGGCATTTATAGGCAATTTATACTGACAGAAAATATTTACACAGATGAAGAACTGTAAAACGTGCGCATAGACAAAGTATTATAATTTCCTGAAGGAGATAAATGTACGGTGTATATGTACACTGCTACTGGGCGTACGACACAAAGAAACAAAGTCTGTTATATTTTGGTAACATAAATGTATCCTATGAATCCAGCTACATAATCTCTGGTTATACTTTATTACCATTCTTGTGTTTCATTTATAAATGCTTCAGTTTAACTGTACATATTGTCTATTATAATACGCTTTATTATTTTAATTTATTGTAGCAAAGCAAACTCAAACTAATTTTGGAGTTTGGGATAAACAATTTTGTATTTTAGCTTGAACATTATTTAACAACTGATATTCCAACATCATGAAACATGTACATATAAAATCAATAGTTAATATGTTTTAAACGATAACGCAATGAATGAAATTAATTCATTTCAAGTAAAGTATATATTTCTTTCAACTATATTTTCTACTTCTTCACTTCAGTGCTGTTATATCTTTCTAGTCCTTGGAATCATTTATTCCTATGTTTTATTGTGATGAATATTGAATACCGCCTAAATTGGTACTAGGGGCGGGAGAGCTTTTGTACTTTACGTTATCTCACGTGAACAGACTCAATCAAACCCAGTCTGCTATTTTCATATAATTTTGTTATTTTCACTGATCCCATTTTCCAGAATTTTATTATAAAATTTATTATTAAATATTATTTTGTATATCAAGTTGTCTCAGTGGTTTATATTTCTCGTGATAATAAATCATAAACGCAGGATATTTAAGACCCTGTGCAATAAATCATAGACGCGAGATATTAAAGGCCCAGTGCCGATTGTCTATCATAAAGTTATGTGCATGAACTCGAGTCCATTCTAAATTGACTTTTATCCCGAGAGACTCAAACAAATATCTAGATTCTTTGAAAATATATTATACTGTCAAAATCATTGAACAAATAGCCATGAGAATCAATATTCCGCCCTTAGTCCTCAATGAAAATAAATCATTATGCTTATATTTCTGGTATAATGGCAAAATAACATATGTATTTCATTTACTATGAATACGAATGAAATGTTCTATTTATTACGTTCTGAAAACCACATTGACTCATACTTATATGGAGCGCATTTGTTTGCTTGTTTGTTTGTTTTAGTGTATTGTAAGAATATATTTCACTGAATAGATGTTTATCTCGCTCTCAACTCATTATATATTGATTGCATCAGATGTTCACTCTGATCTTAACTAATTTATTGTAATAATAATATTAAGCTCCTTGTTTTACTGAATCAAAATGAAATAAAATTTTGAATAAACAAATTTCCTAAGAAAAATAACTCGATGCAGGAAGTCCTATACATTTGATTTATTTCTTTCTCTTCAAAGTTAATAATCTAATTCTAAATGAATATATTTTGTATACTCGATAAAAGTGAAATGTTGTATACTTTAAAAAGGCAATAATTTTGGATAGATATATTGTACTGTAAGTCGCCTGAAATTGTCAAAGAACAATATTAGTAGGCGTATTGTAAACGTGTAATAAATTTGAAATGAAAACCCTTTTTTAATCATAGGCATGTCTTCATTTTTAGACTGAAATGCAACAAATCGAGGCTGATTTTACTTATCTGTAACAACAATTACAAAACATGCTGTGGACGATTAGACTATATAGTCCAACGTCTTTTTAACAAGAAAGAATAGACTGAATAGATTAGCATCTATAACATTTTATTGTGCGATATCAAAGGCTATTCTAGAACCTATCTCCCTTGTTAATACGTGATCTTTTGTTTCTCTAGTCAATTAGAATATATGATATGCAATAAAACTGTATGATACAAAACATTATATAAAACACTGCACAAAATACCATAATTATGTCCCTTATGACAGTCTATCTTACTAGCTATAAGGCGAAATGCCAATTATATATAGTAATATAGATGTATTTAACTGCTTCTGTATATGGTGAACATTTACTAGATGACATGATTATTTGACCATGTAGGCAATATAGATATACGCCAAATCTTTTCTTCTTATTTGTAGCTATGAATGTATAGTTATTTTTTGTTGTTGCTGTGTCTTGTTTTTTTGTAGTTTTTATTTTCACAAAAAAATAATGGAAGTGATTCATACCGTGTTTATATAGCAATGCCAAGTCAATGTTTTTACTTTTTATTTCATAAAAGGTTTGAAAAAATAAAATGCATTGCCGAGAAGTTTAAGAGAAAAGTGTTTAGAAATTATAACCTGATAGTAAGTAAAACGTTACATACACCATTTCAACAAATGGGACCAGTACAAACAATTGTTAACGTCTCTAAGATAATAGTGTTTTACGTATTTTTCTATTTTCATTTACACAAAGTGCTAACTCTTTTAGCATTACAGTATCGTATACCTCTGGGATATGAATCGGTGCCGAAAAAAGTCTACGAAAACTCTTTTTAACACACAGTCTACTTTGAGGTTATTTCTTCCTTTCGGAATGGTTTGATCGATAGAAAAGAGAATAACAATGACGGTTGTAATTAATATCACTCAAGATAAACATGCTTAACGGCCACAAGACACGGATATTACTCCGTAGATATTTACTTATTATAATATTAACTTATTCTCTAAACTATTCATAGAGTATTTGAATCCTAATGCTTATAATATAAATGGGAATCTTATGAGTATGATAGGCGTAATTAAAATTTGTTTTACAATAATTTAAATATGTCACTGTACACAGTTGTCTTGTGTTTTATTATAAAGGCATTGTGAAACAACTCAATGAAATTTAAATTAGGCACAGATTGATTGATATATTGATTGATTGATATAATAATTGATTGGATTGATTGGTATTTTGTATAATAAGAATAATTCTCCGAAAAATGTGATCAAAGCTTCAATGTTTTATATTCTTCTATAAGATCAACGTAATGTGTTTCGTCTGAAACTTTGTAGTGTCTGAAAGAGGAGAATATTTAAGTTTTTATTTTCATATCACCAGGGACAGTTGTGTGCCATTTCCTTTACAATTATGTCACCTAGATTCTCCATGGGAGAAGAAGTTTTCGCGTTGCACACTTAACATATATTTACTTAGCGTCTAGTGTCTGGCATTAGATTTGATGTTTCTAACACAAAATGATTTAAAATTTGAGGAAATACAAAAGAAGAAAATAGAGGTATCTAAAGTATGTGTGTGTATTACTCCACAACAACCTTTTAAGTCAGTTATATAATTGACAGTTCAACAAAACTTTTCCGAGCATCTACGAGCACAAGCAGTTCCTGATACACTTCAACATATATTTTTTTTACAAATACATGTATAGTATATTCACCGGTTAAATTAAAATTTCTTTTCTATCAATTTCTTGAAACGGTTGTGTGCGATAAAAATGAGTTCCAAATATATTATGCTACAAAGATCTAAGCATAATACAAATTTGTTGCAGCATTTCTTAAAAACACATACATTAAAGTAACATGTATCATCCTATAACGCTGCAAAACTTCCTGGTACACTTTACAATATACATGATACGACATAAAAACATGAATGAAGTGAGTCGTGGAAAATGTTATAAAGGAGCCTCTACGTTACTTATATCATAAAAGTCTATTATTTATAGACAAAGATTAGAGATTATTTTCATTACATGA